GAGCTCTGGGTCACTGCGACAACAGGAAGCTAACCAATGAATTTTATTAAGAAAATAAAACAGGAAACTGAATAAAATGTGTTTTGGGAAATTCCCACTGTGTGTGTGTGTGTGTGTGTGTGTGTGTGTGTGTGTGTGTGTGTTAAGTTCACTCGGGGGATTGCAGTAGTAATGGGGACTTAAACAAACTGTCCCCTGAGTCCAGACGCCCGACGTCTGTCTCTACCTGATTAACCATTGATTTTTCCACTGCGGAGTGTGTGTGTGTGTGTGTGTGTGTGTGTGTGTGTGTGTGTGTGTGTGTGTGTGTGTGTGTGTGTGTGTTTCCCGTACAGTAAACGTACAGTCGACACAATTACAGCTCAATCTTCACCACAACTGGGGCGAGAAGTCAGTAAGCCAGAGTGAGACGGGGAGGAGGCTTATTGACTTATATTGTTTCTATATTTGCTTTATTTATTTTATCATGAACCCACTTTTACTTGCTTCAGGTTTGAGGATGGAAAGGAGAAAAATAAAAGTCACGCCAGCATTTGAAACTGTGTCCATCTGTCCCTTCTACCAGATACCTGGACTACAATACGAGTCGGTCTGATACAGTTAACATTTGTTTAATTTAACATTTATTTTACAGTCTGAATTAAAATAAGACATTGTTTACCTTCAGATACACATTTTATAAAATATTAGAGAATCCATAGTATTGTTTCTTTACGGGAAAAACTGGAAGACACATGTCTGATATCAGAGTTACAGTCATTGTTTCTCAGTAAAGACCTCAGACCGCCCTGTTGGAGCTACGTTGTGTTTAATATCTTACGTGTTGTTGCTTGTGCTAGCTGCATTAGCATCCACAGACTTAACTGCTGTCTGAAAGATCGTACAGATGGACAGACTTTTGTCCAATTTTCCTTCTTATAGAATCCAAATGTCTTCCAGACTTTAGAAAACTAAATTCTGACTGTAAAAAACAAATCAGTTAACAAATTGGTAATATTCTGACAGCTGCGACTTCAAAAAATCAAAACACTAAATAACTGACTGACACAAATATAGTTTTTTGCAAAATCTATTTACACTGTAAAAACAATGCAATGAGTCAAAAAGTCAAAGTCAATAAAAGTCAAAGTCAGCTTTATTGTCAAATGAGCTCAGTATCTGTGAGATTACAGTAATTATTGCTGTTTACACTGATAACAACTGTATTTGGACAGTTTACCAATGCTTATACACTGATAAACAACATTTATTCAACTTCCATCATTATACAACATATCTGTCAATTAACAAACAAATCCATGTAAAATTACACAACAAATACTGTTTTACTGGTAATGTCACTAATTTTATAAATGTATTAACAGTATTAAACTTGAGTTTAACAGTTTAATCTATTAAATAAACAGTAAATATCAGAAAAATTATACATTTACAAACATATTTTAATGTGAAAAAAGGGGAATTTTATTTAATTTTATTTAAAGTTACAGATTTTTCACATTATTTTACATTAGACATGTAAATTCACAGGCTGTTTTTGTAATTTTATTAATATTTCTATCTATTTAAAAAAAAGCTGTAAAGCTTATAACTGCCATTAAATTATTGTTAACAGCGCCACCAGTGGCCGGTCAGTGAACTGCAGTCAGCGACCAACAGTGATAAACACAAAAATTACATTTATTTAGTGAAACTAAAGCAACGAAGAGCTCTTTAACGGTCATACTGATGTTTTTCATGTTGCAGCTTATTAACTATAAATTTCTGCTGATCAGTTGTCTGGGTTTTTTTCCTCCCAGGTGTCTGTATTCAGGTTTCAGTGTTACATCATCTTCTCACAGGAAAAACCAGTAGATCTTTTTCAGACAGATACTGTACATGGGTAATCAACACCACCGTGCTCATGACTGTAACACGTGTGCTCTGCTGGTAAATGAAGCCGTTCATCTTCACATCTGAAAACCCTGAGACGAAGCAGTTTGAGGAGTCAGATATGGAAGCCGGTTTCTGCCAATGTGACAAAAAAAGGTTTCTGTAAATCATAATAATGAGAAACCTTCTTAAAATAATGACAGAGTATCTCAAAGTCAATTTTTTGATAAAGTTTTCTCATTATAACGATGTACAGAACCTTTTTTTTGTCACATTGGCAGAAATCGGCTTCCACAGTCAGAAGAAGATAAAACGGACAGAAGTGAACCATTAAAGGAGTCTGAACACAGGACGGAGGAGCAGTGTGGGTTTCATGTATAACGGAAGCTTCACAATAAAATGTTTTCACCAACATTAAACTTTGATGCACCGTCCAGCTGCTGTGTGTGTGTGTGTGTGTGTGTGTGTGTGTGTGTGTATGTGTGTCCGACAGCTGACCACCGTTTCCTCACATTCATTATTAATATTTAACTGTGTGTGCGGTCTGTCTTCATATTCATCTGCAGCTCGCTGTGTGTCTGTGTGTGGGCGTAAACACATGCTGCACATGCACCTCCAGGCAGTCTTTGTGTTGTTGTTCACACTAATGTCGATTATATCTTCATTTTTCTGTTTTCACTGCACAGAATCAAATAGGAAAACGTGTTTAAGACGTTTTAATGGACGAATTAAGAAAACTGTGTATTCATTTTATGTGTATGTTCTGACAAATACGAACCGAATTTTCACTCGCTAAGTCGTACATATGGACTAATCCCTTTTACTGGTTTTCTTAAAGTCCAGGTGAAAGTAAAAATGTAATTTTACTTTAAGTTCACATCCTCAGTTATATTGTTCCTCTATTTAACAATGTATCACAAATTATATATAAAATTAAATTTATTTGAATTTTTATATACAAATCCAAATCATTTTATCTTCCAGTTTCCAGATGGAGCCAACTGTAATGATAAAAGAAAAGTCACCACATTAAGTTTTGTTTTTACTTTTTAAGAACAAAGTATTATGAGAATAAAGTCAGACTTTGAAAAGGAAAACTGAATAAGAGATTAAAGTTATTGACTTTAGTAGTAATATATGTTTTTTTAATGAACAATGTCATAATCTTACAAGAAAAAGTCGATGAAGTCGTGTTTTCCTTTGCTACTCGTGCACAAATGTTCTGACAGGTACAAACTCTGTAAAAGAGTTTTACAACCGAGGTTCAGTGATAACTTTAATCACATTATTCTTATCATCCACTGAAGACTAAAACTCACCGCCACCATCGCTTCACTCCACTGTCCTGTTTCCAGCGCCTGGCGAGCCGTAGCTTAGTTTAAATAGTGTCCACACATGATTTTATACAACGATCAATTATAGTATAAAAAGTTAAAAAGGTTACATCACACTAAAAGAGGAAACTGCCCCTTGCTGTTGTAAATGTGCACCAGCGGGGGGTGTAAGGGCAGATCTGCTGTTTCCACAAACCTGAACAGAGCTGTGTATAAAATGCTAACTGCTAACTAGCTGTTATTGCTGGTCGCCAGCTACTATCAGTGCAAAGATAAAGTGGAGTCGTGTTGGCGGTTGTTGGGAAGACAAACAAAGACACAGATGAGTTTTATTTCTGTCCATTTCGAATGAAGTTCTGATGATCAAATACACAAAAGAAACAAATGTTTTCGGACAAATTAACAGCGCCTCCTACTGGTAACCCAACGTCAGTACAGGAGCCCCCTCGGTTTAAAAACAACAACAATAACAAACAATATTATTATTTACGTTAAAATATGGAAAAATACACAACTGGAATTTGTTGTTAGCACGTTTAGCTTGTTGTTGTTGAGTCTCAGTTTGCTGTTTAAATGTTTAAATACGCAGCTCCAGTGTCGACCTGTGTGTGTGTGTGTGTGTGTGTGTGTGTGTGTGTGTGTGTGTGTGCAGTGTGTGTGCGTGAGAGTGTGTGCAGTGTTTTGTCTCACTAAATGAAGAAGCTGATTGTGTTTCCTTCACGTTTCTGAAGGAACAACCTGATCCTCAAACACGTTTTGGACGAGCAATTTTGAGAATAAATACAAATAAAACTATAATTTAAAAACTTTTCAATTTAATTTTACACAAAAAGTTACTTTTAGTCAAGTCTGCCCAAATACTGGAGTTATTTCCAAAATCAATACTACAATTTATATTATTGTATTAAGAAAAAAGTAAATATGTATGCATATGTAAGTCATTAAAGTTGTGATAGTATATCACAGTAAAGTCAATATGAGAGCAAAGAAACAATTATATGATAAATTATATGTGTTAAGTTCAATTTTGACTATAAAGTTGTAATTTTATGAGGAAAACCAAAAAATTAATTAGAAAAAAATCAAAATTTTACAGGAAACAACCTCAATACGAAAGCAATAAAATATGTATATATATATATATATATATATATATATATATATATATATATTTTATGTAATAGTAATTTTGTAAGAATAAAGTTCAAATTTGACGAAAAAGTCAGTTTGACTTGAACAATGTCATAATTTTACAAAAAAGTCAACATTGTGACAATCGTTTGTGATTTTGTGATAAAATAATTAAATATGAGAAAAGATTAAAATTGAAATAATTTTTCTTGCCTTTTGTGAACTTTACTTTTTAGAAACTCAGCAGCAGTTTGTAAAGTAAATACAGATCTGAGATCAGTTCTTCTCTCAGTCTTTATATTTCATCATCAGATAGTAATCCTTTCTCTCTCTCTCTCTCTCTCTCTCTCTCTCTCTCTCCCAACATGAAACTCCCATCAGTCTGTTCAATGTGGAGCAGTGTGTGTGTGTGTGTGTGTGTGTGTGTGTGTGTGTGTGAGAGTGTGAGTGTGTGTGTGTGTGTGTGTGTGCGGAGAGAAAAGGGAGGGACACAAGGGAGAGAGGAAGAAGAGGGTGAGAAATGACAACGAACAGAGAGAGGGAGAGAGAGAGAGAGAGAAAAGGGAGATGGAGGGGAGGGTCGGACAAGCAAATGGGAGGTGGAGCCAGAGAGCGAGCGAGCCAGAGAGAGAGTGTGTGTGTGAGAGAGAGAGAGAGAGAGAGAGAGAGAGAGAGAGAGTGAGAGAGGAGGGATGACAGGAGATGTAGTTGTTGCCGCGGCAGCAGAGCGGGACAGATCTGAGACAGTAAAACACTCCTCCTCCTCCTCTTCCTCCTCCTTCTTCTTCTTCTTTTTTATTATTACTCCTCCTGCGTCCGTCCTTCCCGTTAACACCTGGACACACAACAACAACAACAAAAAAACCTGCTGCTGCCTTCCTCTTCCTCACCTTCATCATCATCCTCTTCATCAGCTGTGGTAAGTAGGATGAAAACTGCTCCAGATACACTGAGAATACTGCTGAGAATAGACTGAGAGAGGAAGGAAGGGAGTGGAGGAGAGGAGCAGGATGGCACGGCGGGGTGGAGAGAGGGAAGAGTTTGGAGAGGAAGAGGAGGAAGAGGAGAAGAAAATGGATTCAGAGTAGAAAACTTGGTGGAAAGAGGAGAAGAGAAAGAGAGAAGAGTAGAAAGAATACCGAAGATAGAAAAGAAAAGAAGACCAACAGTTTGCATAAAAAAATGGAAGGAAGGAAGAAGTGGAGACAGAAATAGATTATTTCATACCGTGTGTTGTGTGTGTGTGTGTGTGTGTGTGTGTGTGTGTGCATGCGTGTGTTCAGGTTGACGTAATCCGGCCGTATGAATTAGTGATGAAGTTGTGTGTTTGCTATTAACGGTGGTTAGCATTCACCTGCACACACACACACACACTGAGCTCATTAATATTCACACACCTTCTGCCGCCGCCGTCCGACTGCGAGTAAATATCCGTCTGTCCTCTGCTCTGAACTCACCTTTAAGTTGTTTTAAAGCCGAATTTATACTTAAGTTGCGTAAAAAGTGTCTGAAACACATACGGAGGAAAAAATATGTTCCGTTTAATTTTCAATGAAACTTAAAATCTAACGTTGTGGCCGAGACGGGCAGCACCAGGTTGTCAGCATTTGAACGGGAAGAGTTTGATTCACGTCACATGAAATCAGCCAATCTGCTGTTTGAGTCCGATATACGTGGCTCGGGCAGACTGTGTACTTACAGAAACAGCTACAGAAGAATGTTGTTTTATGTTTTACATGTTTGGTGTTCAGAAGTAGTCCTTGATGTGGTCAGCCAAAAGAAAATCTTCAAACAGCTGATTGCTCGATGAGAGGAAAGCTATTTCTGGTTGAACTAAATCTCCCACAATGCAATACCTGCTAGCTGCTGGATGTTAATCAAAGTTGTTGCCAAGAAAATGAATTCCTGACTGTTACCTTTATGGCACATCAGCATTAGGGGTGTAACAAAATATCGAAAAATGACCATATTGTGATATTTTGTTTTGTGATATTGTGTATTGATTGTTATATCTTAACCTCAAACTGTTTGAAAGCGCTGCTATAAACGGAGGGCTACGATATTGGATGTTACAGCAACTGCGATAAATAGAAATGCAGATATTCTGGTTGCATAAAAAAGTCAAACTTTATTTTATTCATAATCTATGCACATTGGAATAATAATGAATAAATACTAATAATGCCAAGAACTGGATCTCTGAATAGGTTTATTAAAGAACACAGTGAAACCCTGCGTCAGGCAATGTTGGTGAGCCACTAAGAAACTACGCAACCTTGTAAACACAGTTAGCTTAACACTGAGAATTGGGGTTAGGGTTGTGCTGAATTAGGGCTCTGGCACTTTGGGTCCAATTCAGGCACTGTGTATGCAGGGTTTTTAGAAATACCAAACCTGATCTTACTAGGGGTTGTATAAAAGAATCAAAGTAGTTATTTTTAGACATTTAGAACTATTTCACAACTTTTATTGCATACCTCTTGGGAAAAAACGCCTCAATGGTGGGTACTCACCAGAAGTGGCGGTATTCAATAAGAAGTAAGAGTACTTGTATGGACAAAGCCACAGGAGTACTCAGCACTCAGTACCGGTGAGTATCCAACCTGCTAATGTTGTTATTCAGTTTGATTCAAATGAGGTTTAACATTCACACAGTTTCTCTCAACAGTCCCTCAATATTACAACATTAGACCAAAATCCCACAGCATGAGGCATTAGCTACTTAGCAACATGCTAAAGCAAAGTTCAGCAGGATAAATAACAAAAGTTACACTAAAACAACATAAAGTGTGGAAAAACGTATAGCTTCTAAATTTGAATTTGGTTGTACGGACAGTCGGTAACGTTATTGATCCATCATTGAACAGTTAAACAATAATGTTGAACCTGGTGTACCACAGGGTCAATGTTTGGTCCCCTGTTGTTATTATTTACATCAAAGATCCATTTAATGTTCATAAACTCACATCTGATATTTTATTTGCAGACAAATTTTTATAATCACATAAACCTTAAAGTATTCGTCAGTCTGCTGTTATTCTGGTTTATCGTCCACAAATTCCATGTTTACACTCAAACAACAACGTTAGTTCGTCTCTCAACACTGTCTGACTTCATAAGCACATTCATAACACATTATAATTTATAAGACTTTATACCTGTGTCACAGCTGTTATAGTACCATACAATATCTAATAACCGTATACAGTTAGTTATATAAGCCTTCACTTTACGTAAAGCTCAGAAAATCATGCTATAGCGTATTTAATAATGTTTCTTAGATATAATTCCATGTAATGATATGTTAGAGCACTTCTATGTCTTTATATGTTTTAATGCTAAACTTCCACCTATAATAATAAAACTAAGCAACTCTAACTAACACTAATGTAACTTAAGTGCATGAAGACAATGTAATTTACGTGATACACCTGATGTAACTTGAGTAGAGGAATAAAATGTACCTGATGTAATGTAACTTAACTACATGAATCAAATTTAACTTACATGACATACCTGATGTAACTTGCGTACGATGGTTAAAATAAATAGTTGACTTTTGGTTTCACACAGGGCACCTACAGAGGTCTTCTGGGTTAAAGTGTTTGTTCGATCCATCCATCCACCTCCATATGAGGACGTTCTCACTCTTTAAACTACGTCACATGACTTTGATGGTAGTGAAAAGACACCAAAGAGAAACCTACAGCGTCATATTTTGAGGTGAAGGGCCACTGACCAATCTGCTTTATTTGACGTGTTGGGAGTGAGAACGTGTTATTGCAGAATCAGAAGTTAGATTTTATTGAAATCTTCAGGATCATAACTTTAAATGTCTTGGCATTTTTATGAAATGTGACAAATGTGTAAAAACTGTCGTCTTGGAGACGGCGTATAAATAAATCCCCTGTAAACTGACACACCTTTGTGCTTCGGTTATTTCTTTATTCTCCTGTTTCGTTGTGATGTGTTGTATTCTGTTTCCTGTTTGAATTCCTTATGTTTCTACTAGACTGTGTGTGTGTCTGTGTGTGTCTCTGTCTGCTGCAGTGAAGTGCTGCTCACTGATGGTCGTCTAATGGTTTCACACAAACACTCAGACTGACCGGCCATGTGCTGCTCTTCATCACTTGTTGTGTGTGTGTGTGTGTGTGTGTGTGTGTGTGTCGACAGCAGTTTCTACTTTTCCTCCTGTTACTTACTCCGGCTTGACTGACAGCGTTTCTCCTGCGTGTCTTTTCAGTTTAAAGGAGTCCGACAGATTTTTTTTGTTCTCCGTCTCCACAGTCTCATGTTTCATCTCAGTGTGTCCACTACAGCGTCAGTGTTGAAATTGAACATGAATATATCAGCAAACAGCTATTCTCTATATACAGACACAGAGTCACATGGTGTCTCTCTCCCTCTGCCTGTGTTGTATCGCAGCCTCTCTGTGGTTTGTTTCCATAGCCGGTCTGCTCCGACTGAAACTGCTGTTTTTATCATCTACGTCGGTGAATTAAGGATTTATTTCCACCAAACCAGAGCTGGTGATTGTTGGAAACAAATGTGTTCGCTGATGTGTCCGTCTATCACAACATGCAGCCCGAACTGCAAACATTTTCTATACTATATGAATTTATACGAGTTTTATTCTGTTTCTGTCCACTTTGAATGAAGTTACGATGATCTGAAGGTAAAATTAGTGTTTTTGTCTCTGGAGGCTGGTGGAGAGTGATAGTGATATTACGGCTGTTTCTGTTTTCTGTAGGGATCCTTTCCATAATGCTGTCAGACACTGACAATAACAACCTGAGTCTGTCAGTGGCAGAAACAACAGTGGACGCACTCTGAGGGGTCTACTCGTCCCCAAGGATTAGCATTAGCTTACGTTGTACCCAGTGCAGGTCTTTTCACAAATACCTTCACATCTAAATCTAAATTTCAAATATTTATTTTGACCAAACTAGAGTTGGTGAATGTTGGAAAGACTGATCTGATGGGTTAATTTGCTTGTTTTGTCAATGGAGTCTGGTAGCACTCTGAGTGAATTTCATATAGTTGTAGCTGACATGGAGCTAATTTCAATGGCTTTATATACGACTGCGTAGCTTAATTTATCTGTTGATCATAATAATCTAAAATGGAACAACTCAAGTACAGTACTTGAGTAAATGTACTTACTTTCTTTCTTTTTTTAAAAACTTGTTTATTGAGCTTTTTTCACAACAGAACAAAGACATACAGAAACCCTCAGAACAGAATTCCCAACCAAAAAAATAAATAATAATAAAAATGAGTAAATCTAAGACATTGCATGTTAAATTTGTTGTAGAAGAGGATATATATACACATGATGACAGAGAGAGAATCTTACAAAAACCCCCACAAAAAAACCATTAGAAAAGTACAGTACATACAGAGTAAAATCCAAGCGGGTTGTCACCTAAATAAAGTGAAGCCAGTGGTTGTCCTAATTAGATTGTTTCATGCAGCTTTGATTTCTCTGCCATGTATCTCAAAAAAGGTTGCCAAATCTCATAAAATTTGCCAGATGAACCTCTAAGTGTATGTTTTATTTTTTCCAATTTCATATAAAATAAAAGTACTCCTGATCTATAGTGTGTGGGATGGAGGGATGGCATCTTTCCATTTCAGAAGGATCGGGCGACAGGCAAGCAACATACAGAAAGCCAGAAAGTCACACTGAGACTGTTCAAACTGTAGACAACAGAAGGTACTCCAAAAAGGGCTATGACGGGACAGGGGGCTGTAGACACCTCTAGGACCTCCGAGAGTGTTTTAAACATCGACGTTCAGTAAGTCGTCAGCTTGGAGCAGCTCCAAAATGTGTGTAAATATGTAGGATGGGGTCATTTTACAACGATTGCACGCTGGATCTATGTCTGGGAATCTCTCTGATAACTTCTCTTTGGTCCA